TTCCATCATCCCAGATCCCCAGAACCTCATCCCTCTTTGCAGCATCTCCCAGGCTGGATGAGCAGCAGCCACTGCAGTAGCTGCTCACCCTCACTGCTGCTCTCTAATCAGACACGGGCTTTGCAATTAAGCATCACAGAGTACCCCGGGGACAGAACCTGCTGTTAGAGCCCAGCTCAGACGTGGCTGGGGAGGCAGAGACCTGATTTCCCACTTAGCAGACAGGTCACGAGCGGTGCATTCATTGATCCCAGAAAGCAAAGCCTCCGCTTCATTAGAGACACGCTGGTGATGAACGCAGCCTCGGGGAGCAGGGAAGCTGCTGTGCATCCTTCCCTAAGTGCTGTTTCCATTGGGTTCAAAGCACTGATGCTGGGAAGCTCCTCTGACAGCGTGGCTTTGCCTGCTCCTTGCTGCAGCACCCATCACACTTGTGGCTCTGGGAAGAGGCTGAGGCTGGAAAGATGCACTTAGAGCCTCAGTGTCTGTCCCCTCCTGTCGGTGCTTCTCCCCACTGATGCATGACAAGGGCACGATGCCCTGGGTTAAAGGAACACAAGCTGTGGCTCTTGCCAAGGCAGAGCACTGGGGCAAGACCACCGTGATGTGCTGGAGGGGTTCCAGAGCCCAGGGTGCTTGCAAGGGGTGTTCATCCATAGGCAAAGCCTTAGGAGAGCTGGTTTGGGTGCAGGCAGCACAAAAGCAGGACAGAGAAGAGGCACCCCCAGGCCATTGGGGCACGGTGATATTTGGCAAGAGGCTTATGCAAGGTCCTGCCCTGGACCAACCTTGTGTACACAGCGTGTTGAATGTAAAGGGGAATGTTCCCCTTTTCCTGCAGGAAGGACAGATCCTGCCCTGTCCTCTGCCTCTCATTTGCCCTCCCCAGGTCAGCTCTCTCCAGAGGGAGCTTTCCTCACTGCTTCTTGCCAACAGTTACTGGCAATAACATCTCAATGCCCTTCAGTGCAGCTGCTCAAGGCAGCAGATGGGGATGTGGGCTGTAGCTGTGCCAGGCTGGTTGCCCTGCTGCAGGATAAGCTGGGCTTCATGCGAGTAGCTCCATCTACACCCAAAATTCCCATTCCCTCCTGGAAATCACAGAACACCAGGTTGGAAGGGACCTCAAGGATCATCGAGATGCTATTGAGAGACCTGTTGGGATACTGGTGTTGTTAATGGGAGCACAGCGGGAAGAGCATCACTAGGGTTGAGTATTGTGAATGAGCTGGAACAGAGCCCAGTACCATCCCTTTCCCTGCATCACGACTCGGCACATCACGATCACAACACCCACAGGCGGAAAAGCAAGGGAAGAACTGCGAGCCTTTAACGTGGAGACTTCCCTGGTTCTCTGGGTGAGGGCAGACATGGGGTTTAAGGAGGTTTCTGCTCCATTGACTCACACTGCACTGCAGGTTCAGGGCAGGGATGTGTCACCCTGCTCTGGTGGGTGTCAGGCTGCTAACCCTTTCAGGAAAGCATCTCCCATGGGCCATCCTCTGCTGTCAACAGCAATGAGCTTCCCACCTTGTGACACGTCCCCTTCAACTGCTCTCAGGGCAGATCTTGAGCTCCCAAGCATTTGGCTCCTGTTTCTGGCTCACACTGGTACATGGAGGAGCTGGAAGCAAAGCATCCTCTTCCCAACCTGGCTTTCCGCTTGGGAGCATCTCAGGTTTTGCTGAATCACAGAATGGTTTGGGTTCGAAAGGACCTTAAGATCATCCAGTTCCAACCCCCTGCTATGGGTAGGGGCACCTCACACTAGAGCAGGTTGCTCCAAACTCCATCCAATCTCACCTTGAACACTGGCCAGGGATGGGGCACTTATCACTTCTGTGGGCACCCTGTTCCAGCACCTCACCACCCTCACAGGAAAGAACTTCCTTAGATCCAATCTGAACTTCCCTTGTTTTATGTATGGAGCTTTCTGCATCCCTGGGCATTTAAGGGGATTCTAGGAGCATCTGGGCACGGAAAGAAGGGAAGGAGCAGCTGCCTCTGTGGATTTACAGGGATCAGCATCCCGAGCAAGTCCCCAGCATTAAGCAGGGTGTAACAGGGAGCAGAGTCTGACTCACATCCCATATGTTCCCCATCCACCGCGTTCAATCAAGCCTAATAAAATTGATAGGGGAGCATTGAAAATCTCGTGATTAATTCTTTATGATCTGTAATAGGGGAGCTGTGTGCCAATTACTCGAGTAAATCATTCATCAGAATATAAATAGAGCTAACTTGCAGCACAAACACCAAAGGATTTCCACTAGGATTGCAGGTTTGGATTGCAGCATTGCACCACTGGTGACAACGTGGTTATCTCATGGAGGACAGAGGAGCATCAGTGATTTTTGCTGCCCCAGCTTTCAGCTCCACGCTCCGGTGTTGTTTGCTTCTCTCTAGGTTTGCAATGCTGCCCTTTACCATGCGATTCCACGTTCCATCCTTGATCTCCATGACCCCTCAGCCCAAGCCTTTGCACGTTCGCAAGGGTTAAACCCACAGGGTTTATTTGAGGGCAGGTTTGGACGTGTGGACAGTGACACAGCACTCAGGGAAGGGGACAAACAGGACCTCTGTCAGGAAGGGATGGTGCGGTGGTGGGACCAGGTTGCGAGCTGAGCTATGAGAAACCAAGACCACAAGCAGAAAGCAGCCCTTGTTGGTGACCATTGAGGCTTGATGGGGACACCCATAATGTGGAAGCTGTGATGCTTTATATCCCCTTTTTCCCTTTATCTCAGCAAGAAAACTAATCCTTTAGCCTGGAAGCATTGTCCCTCTGTGCTGAAGTTGGCCCAGCTGCAGTTTCCCAACCAATATCCCATTTCTACAGGGAACTCACCAACAGCATTCCCTGCCCTGCATTTCCACATGGAGTCCCCTGGCTCTCCTTGTGTTTGAAACTGCAGCTTGCTAACTCGCAGGCAGCGAGCATCCTTCATGGCCTGACACACACATGCATTGCTGATCATAGAATCATGGAATCACAAGATGGGACCTTGGGACCATCCCGTTCCAACCTCTCACACCAGACCATGTCACCCAAGGCTCTGTGCAACCTGGCCTTGAACACTGCCAGGGATGGAGCATTCACCAGTGTGAACACGTGAAGCACATGGAAACCCTCCAGTGCTGCTGCAGGAGATGCCAACAGAAGCAGCGGTGGCTGCATGATCCCTGTCAGCTCCCCACTGCATCCCTTTTCCCAACCAGCAAGCGGGACAGGGATGCTCCATTCTGAATGGCTTCATTTAAGTGCTTTCTGCCCACAGAGACATCTGCAACTCAGTACTCATCAATGACCTCTTGGGGCCATAGTGGGATTTCAAAGGGAGCTGGGAAGAGACTTGGGAAAGCCAAGGGCAATGCCCTCTTCCTCAGCTTGGTGCTTGGAAACAGGGACCTGGATAAAAGGCATGTCATGGGGACAAGGGGAGGGATGAGGACACAAAGAAAAGCCCCGCAGAAAGCCCTCTTTGTCTCCTTTACAGCTGCTGGATGTTTCCGAGGTGGGATGGAGACCAGTGTGGAGCAAACACACCCTGTCCTTAGGTGGAAAATGTTCCCTGGATAGGGGATTTGGCAGCAGGAATGGTGTGGGTGTGATTCCCTGCCCCAAACACAGCTGGGCACTGCAGCACATGCCTTTACTGGGTGCTTACAACATGGGGTGACAGATAGATGTGTATGTGACAGCCTAGCTCCGCTGGCCTTGAGTGAGCACTCCTCTGCACCTCCTCATTGCCCATCCCTCCCTTCACCCCTCCATGTCCCTCATCCAAACCCATTCCTCCTCCCAGCCTGCCACAGCATCCTTATCCTTTCCCTTGCTGCAGGGAAGAGGTTTCTCCCTGCTAATTCCCTCCCTGGGGGACCATTTCCTCCCCTCTGAACACAGCCATCACTGCTGTCCCCTTTGCATCCCCTTCGCATCCCTGCTGCCCCAAGCACCCAGCTGGTGGGACTGACAGAACAAACATCCTCCCATCTGCTCCGCCGCCCCAGCAGGGGAGATGACACAGGGATAATCACACACTCAGCACAGCAGAATTATCCAGTGCGAGGGAGAAGAAGCAGGAAGCAGCTGGAGAGCATCCGTGGGGAACGCTGCTCCCAGCACAGCTCCTGCATCCCAAACTGGTGCTGCATGTTATACTGGGAATGGAGGCGTCCAGCCCCATATACACACCCCAAGCACTGACCCTGCAGCAAGTCTGGAGTAAGGAAAGCTGGATCCCCATGGAGCCAACAGTTGTAGCTGGGATGCTCTGGGTCTATGAAGCGCATCCTCCAAGGATGCCACGTTACTGTGAAGGGCTTTGTGTGATCCATCACTCACATTTTCAGTGCCAGGGCACAAGCATTAGGGCATCCCATCCCTTCCCCATTCCCATGACACCTCTGGGATGGCCGCTTTGCAGCTCACCCATGAGGTTCCCTTCAAATCAAACTCCTTTTTGAACGGAATGTGTTTCCCCTCAAAAGAGGGCCTGTGGAAGGGGATGGTCCACGCACAGACCCTTAGAGGGGATGCACTGGCAGAGCCGTACTGCATCCCATGCGGTGCATCACTCAGAAACATCCTGGAGAGAGTGCAGAAGATAAACTGTATTAGTCATAATAATAACAGCAATTACAAAGCCAACGCTACACCTGCTGATGGGAGTCACCTGCAATGATTTACCCTTAAAATACTTCTTGATGGCTTCATGTTTTGACCTGGAATGAGTAATATTGGGCAAGCAACACCTAATTTCCACAGCCTGTCCTTGGGCTAGAAGGCCACTGGAGATGGGTCCTGGTGCATGCCCCTGGTGTGAGGGCTTCATAGGGGCAGAACAGGCAGGGCACAGGTAGGGAACAGGTAGGGGACAGGGAACAGGTAGGGAACAGGCAGGGGGCAATGGGCAGGGTCTCAGTGCCGGGGCCTGCTCCACCCGCTCCCACCCTCGGCCCCACACCGCTGGGACGAAGCCCGCTCCCCGGGGGGCCCGTCCCGCCCGCTCCGGGGGGGGTGCTGTGGGTGGTGGGGGCCGAGCCGGGCCCCGGTTGCTTCACCGGGCCAGGGTCGAAGTCCAGGCGCCGGCAGCGCGCTCCCGCAGCCGGACACAGCCCGCGACGGAGGCGGCGGGGCCCGCGCCCAGGTCAGTGCTTGCCCCGGGGCCCTGCAGGCCGCACCGCCCGTCCCGGCTCCGTGCTCGCTCCGCGCCGGGGCTCCGGAGGCGGGACTACGCTTCCCGGCAGCGCCAACGCGCGGGGCTCCGCCGGGAGGCAGCGGCGATGGCCGCGGCCCCCGCTCCGCCATGGCCGAGCCGGGCGGGGGCCGGCCGTTCCCGTGGGAGTGCTGCGAGGGGCTGGGCGGCCTGGAGTACGGGCAGGTAACGGCGGGCGGCACCGGGGCACGGCCCGGCCCGGCCCGGTCCTGGAGCGCTGCCGCTCGGCACAGGGTTGGGGGAGGCCCGGGCCCGGTTCTCCCCCCCCCCCGTAGGCCCCGGGATGCGCGGTGCCCCCCAGCGCGGTGCCCCCCGAGGAGCGACGGCGGCCTGCGGGTGTGGGCACAGCCTGGACTGAGCCGGGAGGTGAGCGGGGGTGATGGGGTGGCAGCAGTACGGGCCCCTGTGGCTCTTATGGGTGTTCTTCTGGCTCTTGGGTGTGTGGCTCTCAGTGGGTGCCCATGTGGCTCTTGAGTGCCCATGTGACTCTTGGGTGCCCATGTGACTCTTGGGTGCCCATGTGGCTCTCACTGGGTGTTCATCTGCTCTTGGATGCCCCTGTGACTCTCACTGGGTGCCCATGTGGCTCTCACTGGGAGCCCATGTGGCTCTTGAGTGCCCATGTGACTCTTGGGTGCCCATGTGGCTCTTGAGTGCCCATGTGACTCTTGGGTGCCCCTATGGCTCTTGAGTGCCCATGTGACTCTTGGGTGCCCATGTGGCTCTTGAGTGCCCATGTGACTCTTGGGTGCCCATATGGCTCTCATTGGGTGCCCATGTGACTCTTGGGTGCCCATGTGGCTCTCACTGGGTGTTCATCTGCTCTTGGGTGCCCCTGTGACTCTCACTGGGTGCCCATGTGGCTCTCACTGGGTGTTCATCTGGCTCTTGGGTGCCCATGTGACTCTTACTGGGTGCCCGTGTGGCTCTTGGGTGCCCATGTGGCTCTCAGTGGGTGCCCGTGTGACTCTTGGGTGCCCGTGTGGCTCTCAGTGGGTGCCTGTGTGGCTCTTGGGTGCCCATGTGGCTCTCACTGGGTGCCCATGTGGCTCTCACTGGGTGTTCATCTGGCTTTCATTGGGTGCCCATGTGGCTCTCACTGGGTGTTCATCTGGTTCTTGGGTGCCCATGTGGCTCTCACTGGTGCCCATGGGGTTCTTACTGTTGCCCTTGTGGCTCCCACTGGGTGCCTGCGTGGCTTTTCCTGGATGTGGCTCTCTCCAGGTGCCCACGTGGCTCTTGCCCAGTTGCCCTGTGGCTCTCACTGTGTGCCCATGGGGCTCCCATCGGGTGCCCAAGTGGCTTTCACCCATTTCCCCATGTGGCTCTCACTGGGTGTGCGTGTGGCTCCCATCAGGTGCCCATGAGGCTCTCACTGGGTGCCCATGTGGTTCTCATTGGGTGCCCATGTGGCTCTCACTGGGTGCCCATGTGGCTCTCACCCAATTGCCTTTGTGGCTGTTACCCAGGTGCCCATGTGGCTCTTACCTGGGTACTGATGTCACTCACACCCAGTTCCCCCAGTGACTTTCTGGGTGCCCATGTGGCTCTCGCCCAGTTGCCTTTGTGCCTCTCCCTGGGTGCCCATGTAGCTCTCACCCTGTTCCACCTATGGCTCTCTGGGTACCCGTATGGCTCTCACCCTGGTGCCCATGTGGCTCTCACTGGGTTCCCATGTGGCTCCCATTGGGTGCCCAAGTGGCTCTTTCTGGATGTGGCTCTCACTGGGTGCCCATGTAGCTCTCACCCCGTTCCACCTATGGCTTTGTGGTTGCCCATGTGGCTCTCACCCAGTTGCCCCTGTGGCTTTCACTGGGTGCCTGTGTGGCTCTTACTCAGATGCCTGTGTGGCTCTGGTCCCATTGCCTTTGTGGCTCTCACTGGATGCCCACGTGGCTCTCACTGGATGCTGATGTGTCTCTCATTAGGTATCTGTGCTGCTCTCACCCTGCCCAGCTTTGGGGTTACAAGCAGGCAGGCAGCATTTGCCGCAGTTATCGATCACCCCTTGGGGAGGAGCGGACAAAGTTGACTGTCCCATCCTGTAGGGACAGCTCATCCTAAGGGGGTTCCCCTTATAGCCCTGCAAGCACACAGCAGGCACAGGCCAATCCACCTCCCACTGCCAGGCACGGATGCGGTTGTTGAGGAGGAGGGAAGCAGGTGAGTGTGTTCATGATGCTGCCAGGCAGGAGTTAGTGGGTCAAGAAGCTTTTGTTCAGCCTGTGCTGGTGCTGTTCTCAGTGCTGTACAAAACGAGAGGCAAGAAGTTGTCCTGGTCACTGGGTTGCAATGGGAGCACAACCAGGCAGTAACAGCCTGGGTACCCGGCTGGGTTTGGAGGGATGAGGTCTGATGGTTAAAAGGCTGCTCAGAGGTGAAGGGAAGGGAGGAATAGGGGGAGTTGGGTCAGGATCAGGTCCTAAGGGCTGTTCCCATCATACAGTTGTTCTCACTGGCTGGGCAGGAGACACCCGGACATGCCCTGGGACAGCACAAGATCCATTCCCAGGTCCCTTGCTCTTGGCTATGAGAGGCACCAGATATAGCAGCCATGAATCTCTGGTTCCTTCTATGAACGTGTGAGGAGCCAGCGGGATTTTCTCTCCTGGACTTAGCAAGGTGGAGCTGATGCCTTTTCAAACCCTTCCTGTTCCCTGCATCCGAAGGACTTGCAAACACAGCTGTATTTAGGAAGCAGAAACCTTCCACATCCCGCTGTGTTGTCTTGGTTTTGATTGAAGCGAGGGAAGGGCTCGGGCTGGGCTGTTTTGTCCTTTGTTTTCCAAGTTTTGGGGAAAAAAAATAGGAAAAAAAGAAGGTGCTGAGTGTTTTTCATCTAAATCCCACTGCAGGGAGGAGAAGCAGCAGGGCTTACTGCACCTAAACAGGCTGACAGTGACAGAGCCCTCCTGGGGAAAACAGCTCTTTCTTAAATGGAGAAAGGGGGAAAAACTCAGAGCTTTAAGGGCTTTTTGTTGTTGTCGTTGGGGAAGACAGGAAAGTCTTTTGCAGCTTGCAGTGCAGCTGCATCTCCCTTCACTGCGGAAGGGGTTCGCATTGCTCTTACTTTATGGAAGGCAAATTTGAGGCTGCCACAGTTCATTGCTTGGAGTTTCCATGCAGACCAGCATCCCTGGGATGCAAATCCATCCCTGGGGATGCCAAAGCGCTGTGAACGCGCTCAGGTTGGCAGCTGCCCCACAGGGGCTGGTGCTTGTCCCCACAGTGTCCTCAAAGTGCTCATGTCCTTCTGAGTGCTTCCTAAGAGCCCCATATCCCTGAGGGGTATGGGGATACAGCTTGGAGGAGCCCCCATCCTTCCTCTTTTTGCACCCTGAACAGAGCATTGCTTGGGGTTATGGAGAGATTCCTCTGCTCTTGCAAGGCAGCTTGGTTTGAGATGAAGTGCTCCCTATCCAGGTACAACACCCAGTGTCCCCCCAGTATCCTGCACCCCCAGTAACTGTCCTTCCCTCCCCAGGTGGATGTGACAGTCATGGCATGGCTCTTCAGCTACGTGGATGTGACTGACTCTGCCTTCATTGTGGCTGCCCTCTCCATCGCCTTCAATCCTCTCTTCTGGAACATGGTAAGAGCTGCCTGTGCATGGCTGCCCTACTGCTTTTAGCTGTCCTTTGCCAGCTACAGGAGGGTTTCCTTTTGGCCACATTGGAGGATAAACCTGTTTTGGGGGTGTCTGTTGGGCTTGTGGGGTAAATGGTGCTCAGTTATTAGAAGTGGAGCTATGCTGCAGAGAACTCTGGGGCTGGAGGTGCCTGCAATGTGTGTCCTGGACGAGGTAAAGGTGGGATTCAGTGCGGGATGCAGAAGGAATGAGGAGCTGAGCTTGGGAGATGGAACAGAGGAATCAAACCTGTCTTCTCTTGCACCTCCCACCCCAGCAGGTCACCATTGGGACTGAGCATAAATGACATTAACCCTCTGCACGGGAGGCATTCCCTGCTGCTTCCCCCCTGAAATGTGTTGGTTGTATGAATGGCAGGAAGTAAAAGCAGCCAAAAAATAACCTGAAGCCATTCTCCCTTCATCATGCTGCAGGCTTGGCAGCAGCCATGAGCAGGAACAGGGATGCTCCTGTGCAGAGTGATGCTCGCTGTCTATGTGGGTGCCATAGCACTTCAGGAGCTGAGCCTGGAAGAGTCTTTGCTGCCCTTTCCCACTGGGGTGTTGCTGCTTTCCTGCAGCAGCAAGGAATAATCATGTCCAGCCCCATTTTGGAGCGTTGCAGAGCCAGATGGGAAGCCCAAGCTGGCTGCAGCAGAGGGGCTCCCACCCTGCACAAGCCAAGGTGGGGATGAAGCCTTCTCATGGAAACGGGATGCCATTTCAGCCAAGATTCCCAAACCTGCCCACCAAATGCATTTTCACACTGGGGGAAGCCTCCTTAAAAGAAAGACCTTGTTTTTCCAGAGGGGGAGGACTGGGCTCTCTCTGAGCGTGGGGGTTTAGAGGTTGTCTCATGCTGGGCTTTGGAATAGCACGGCTCTCTTGGCTCTGAGTCACTTTGGAAGCCTCCGTCGGAGCTCTTTGTTGCAGCCCCCCCTAATTTCTCATGCAAAGTCGTTATTAAGAAGCCTCACGGTGTCTGAAACGCGAGCTAGAACCTGCCACATTATTTCGACTGCAGAGTCATCCTTTAGCATAAAGAATCAATGAGCGAGCTTCAGGATGTGGTCTCTGGGGGGAAGAGATTGGCTCCAGTGACAATGCAGCATAAAAGGGAGAAAGGAAAGGGGGGGGGAAAGGGCTTTATTAGCGTCTGCTGCTACGCCTGCGCCTCGTGGGATGCCTGCAGCTTGGGAAAAGAGCGTGGCTTTTCTGGATCAGGAGTTTGGCTGCTGTTAAAGGACAGGGAAAGCTGATGTAACAGCAGGAAGTTCATTGCGTTGCTGTTGTCCCCTTCCAGCGTCTGAAGAGCATTGCCGTTGGCGGCAGGTGGCACTGCAAGCAAGACGTGCAGGGCCTGCGCCTGGGAGCAGAAGGCATCTCTCTCTGCATGGCTTTGCAGTGACCAACCCGAGCTGGTGTGGTGGTGGAAGGCTCTGGGGAGGTGAGCGTGGCACCAGGTGTCGGCTGCAGGGTGGCTCTCGCAGTCCGTGTGCCTCCATCCATGCGCTTGCTGTGCCCCAGCATCTCCGTGCTGGGTTCAGGCTCCTTGTGTGGCTCACAGCAGGCGCTGCTGGAAGGCTCTTGCAAGGGGGATGCGGGACCTGCAGCACTGAACAAGCCCCTGCTATTGGGTACCACAATATTGATGGCCACAGCCATCCGTGGATTTTCCCTATCCTGCTTCCTTTACCTCCTCCACCATCCTTTTATCCCTGTGTGTCCCCTGCCCATACCCAGCCAGCAGCTCTTCATTTTCTGCATCCCTGCACAGGCTCCCTTTGTCTTTTGCTATTTGAGTTCCTTAACAGCAGCTGAGATTGCTTCTGCATCCGAATTACTTTGGGCTTGCAAGAGCTTTAGTACAAAGCCTGGATTCCTGTGCAGTGCCAAGCACTCTCTGCTGTCTGTGCTTTAGAAGTAATACGGGATCCTGGTCCAAAACCCTCCTGAGCATGAAATCCCTGGTTTGGGGTGGGGATGCATTGGTTTAGTTCAGTGTCTTAATTCCCCATTTCTGCTGAGCTCTGGCCAGATCTGCCTCTTGCAAAGTTTGGCACCAGGTTATCCTTACTGTGCAGAGCCTCTGAATAAGTATGTGGTGGGGAAACCCCAGCTCCATGCAGTGCTTGGCTGATGGAGAGGCACATCTTGAGGCCTGGAGCATCCTGAGCTGTTTGCCCTGGAAAGCACCAGGGATAAACCCTGCAGGGTTTGTGGATGAAGCACAAACTCCAGAGGCTATAGAGGAGTCCAGAGAAAACGTTGATGCTCGTGGTGTCAATGTGTGTACTTCTGTTGAGAGCAATTTAGAGCACCAGAGCCTAAGTGGGGCACTTTGCAGGACTCCAGCCAGGCTGGATGCTCCCTCCTGTTCTCCCCAAGGGAGAAACGCTCTCCAAAAGGCCTCAGGACTCCAAATTCTCACCTTTCCTCCCTGCAGCCATTCCCGATGGGTACCATGAATGTCACTCCATGGTCACCTCTGCCTTTCCCCACCAAACCCAGGGCTATCCCCCATCTCTTCTGCTTCCATCCCTCTATGCCAATTAGCATCCTGCCTGCCCATCGGTAGCTCCCGGGTTATGCTGTTCATGGCACAGCTTGGATGTGTTCCTCTGCTCTGGTTTTGTCCTTGTTTTCTCTTCCCCTCTCTCCTCATGCTGTCTGTGCTTTCCCACCCACCGTGCCTGTTATGAGAGGAGCTGCTGGGAGCCGTCATCCCGCATCAGGCAGGGTGCAGGTGAGGTCCTGAAAGGCAGGAGCAGAGCTGGTTTGGGAATGAAATCACTTCAATCACCCCAAAGATGTTCAATGCACTCGGAGACCCGAGCTGTGGGGCTGTAGGAGGTGCACTGCTGGTCTCTGCTGTAAAACATTAATGAGGTCAAGGCAGCAGAAACTACAATAAACCCCATCTGTGTTTGGAAAGCCGTGGAACGATGGGAGAAGCTTCCCATCCCTTGGTAACTAAGGAAGGCATTAAATAGCAGCTCCTTGGGGACAAACACTTTCAGGCCAGGAGAGGCAGATAACCTGCATGTGGGAGGCTTTAAAGAGCTCGCTGAGCCGTGGCACATGGGGAGGTTCTAGAAAGCTGGATGGTTTTTGACCCTCTCCATAGCAAGCAGGCAAGTGGCAAAGCCGTGAGGCAGGTAGGCTGACGTCTGCCACCACACGAGTGAGTTTCAAGTGGGAAGCGCATCCATCAGCAATGCTTTTCTTGGCTTGAGGCTCTTAAAAACTCCTGTCTGGCGTCAGGGACTGATTTAGAAATGGCACATCTTCAGCTTGCTCCTCCCCTCACCTCCGGTGACCCCCTGAGACACCCATCCTCGCACAGAGCAGACCCTTGGATGTCACGGTTAGGAGCAGGCTGAGTGTAATTTAGCGTGGTTTTAAATAGACCCCATCAGCCAAACGTGCTTTTATTCATCAAGGTTGCAGCTTTTCCTGTTGAGGGTAACAAGATCTCAGTTCGAGACTTCTGTCAAGTGCTTAAACTGCATGAGGTTTTCATTATGGGAGCAGTTGCGCAGGGAGCTGGGCTGACAGCACCGGGCTCCTGATGGATGTGAATCTCTTGGTTCATTTCTTTTTAATTTCCCATCTTTTTCTCCTTCTTTGGAGGCTGCTGGGATCTGCCAAGTGGATGAGAAGTGCTCGTGCTGGCGGGAGGGGGATGTTTGCAGCCTGATTTCATCTACCCCTGACCACTTCTTGCTGAACTCGGAGGAAGGTGCCTGGCCCCAAAACCTCCCCACGTAGCTGGGAAGGGGCCAGGAGCTTGGATGTGTTTGGATTCAGACCTCAGCAAGCCTTTTGGAGAAACCTGCTTGATGCTGGGGTGGGGTTTCAGCAGCAATCACTGCCTGCCTTACAGAAGGGAAGGGTTGAGCAGGGGATTGATGGTGGTGTGTTAGCACCTGGCTGGGGAAAAGGAATTGCAGGGTGTGAAATGGCTGTGTGAGGGCTGGTTAGCTGAAGTTTATGGGGCTGGGAGATGAATGAGTTGCAGTGTTATAATGGTCTTTTCTGGCCTTCACATTCTGCAGACCTCAAGGGTTTAGTGGGCTCGGCAGAAAAACAGCCCTCAGCCATCTTCTGGAAGCTGCTTTTAGACCCCATTGCAGAAGCCCCGGCACAGTGACTATGATTATCTGCTTATAACAGATGCTAGATCAATAGCGGGCCTTCAAGCTACGCTGCAAGGCAATTGACTGCAGAAAGTGCTTCTTTATTGGGGTAAAGCTGGCCTTGCAATGAGGCTTGGATTCGCTCTTACATATCCGGTCTTAAAATGTCACCGCCAGCTCTGATGCCTTTCATCCTTTGTGCAGGGAGAGGACGCGCATTATTCGTAATTGGGCTCTCTACCAGGCAGCAATCGCTGTTTTCATTCCCTACAATGCCTGGGAAAGAGCAAGGGTTTGCTTGCTTTCTATTTTCCCTGCCCACAAACAGCATTTAGTGGCCATTTAATTCCCAGTGACTTGGTCATACTTCTCGCTCAGGCAGCGAGGCCTCTGCAGTGATGCTGTAACGCATGTGGTGAGCGGACGGACAGCATCGATTCTCCAGCCGCCTTGTAACAGGGTGAGTCCTGGCTGGGTGTATAACACTGTGCCTGTTTGGCTCCTAAATTTAGCTCTTCCAGCATCTTGGCACCGCTGCGAGCCACGTAACAGGTACCAAAACTGGGTCGCATCCTCCTGCCTGCTGGCTGGAGTGACACAATTAGGAGCGCTATCACCTTGAGGGAGAGCCGCATCCTTCATCCCGGCACTGCTTCCCTGCAGCCTCCCAGCGAGGGGTGGTGGTGTTTGCATCTAAATCCCCTTTTAAGAAGTTGTGCAATGTCTTTTTGTGATGGCCTTGCAGGCTGTGGTGGGGGGAAATGGAGTTCAGCTTGGCTTGAGCTGCTTCATCTGTGTATCGAGCTAGGTACGGTCTCAGCCTTCA